GAGAAGCAAAATACAAAGCGAAGCTTACAGAACCCGCGACACGTCCCGACACGATGAGTATCTGCATGCCTTGTTGCAACTATTCCATCAAGCTGTCAAAATGGATATGCAAAACACGAGCGCAGGTGTGGAGAGGAGATGATTGGAAGAAGAGAAAGGAAAAGAACTGCACTTCTGGTTTAATCAGATAAAACAGTGCAACGGAGTGACTGTGCAGAACGTGTGTGTGTGTGTGTGTGTGTGTGTGTGTGTGTGTGTGTGTGTGTGTGTGTGTGTGTGTGAGAAGCTAGGAGTCGGTTTGAACAGCCAGTTGGCACAATGGATGCCATGAATCCCGACCCCCTCCTTCCCTCATTCCAGGCCCTCAGCCTACTTCCCAGCGGGCATTCATCTGGACATGCACATGGGCGCTGCAGCCGAGCCTGGCTAAACGCGTCTGTGCCCCAGAACAAGGGGGTGAATTTTTGTGAGTGCCCTCTCAAAATTAACCGGGGACTCTCGCTGCCAACCTGCCGACCTTTCTCAGGCACGAACCAGCGGGGATTAGCGGTGAAACCCGCTCGAAACATGCATGCTTTTTTTTTATTATTGTTGTTTTAAAAAAAAAAAAAAAAAAACGCCGACGAGAAAATAAAGGCGGCGAAATGATTTCTGTTACTAGACTACGCAGCTCAGCAGAGCGGGACGCAAAAAAGAACAATATATTAAAAGCACAGTCTGAACAGTGGATACTCTTTCAGCCGGAGCCCGATTTTGCTGGTTTCTTTGTGTTTGATTGTATGTTTGTTTGTTTCGTGCAGTTGCAGCTGAACAAAAGGCGGCGGCGGCTTCCATTCTGCCACCATCGGGGGTGGGGGGGAAACAACTTTCCAGTGTGCCCACCGCATTGCGGATGCCAACCGACGAATCAAAGGCACGCTGCACGCAGACAAAAGAGGGTTTGATGCCAACCTCCGAACCTCTAACAACCGTCGGGCGGCGATCCGCCCTGCCTCCCTGGCACCGTTTGGAACAAAATGGCGGCGCAGCGCTTTGCCGTCCACAACATGGCTGCGCCGTCTGAGTTTGGGCACCGCTTGGCGACTTAAAGGAAGAGGGAAAAGACTTTTCATTTTTGCAACAACGAAAAAAAAAAAAACTCACAAGTGGAACAAATAAGTGAACACGTTTTTCGATTCTTGTAGTGAAAACACTAAAAAAAGATCATCAAAATTTCAAACTTCACGCAAAAAAACAAAAAAACAAAACAACATCTTTCTTAGGAGAAATCTTTGATATTGACAGTTAATAGAGAGGGAATGAAAAAAATAAAAACCCCTCGCTAAAAAGAGCGGCGTTGTTTTAAATGTTGGCACGGAGCGGTTAAAACGCAGCAGATGCAGAACAAGGGGAGCGGTGGCATCCTACAAAGGACACAAAAGGAGGGTCTGATGCCAACCCCGGTGCCAGTGGCAACCATTATTGTCTCCGTGCTGTGCCTTCTGCTTTCCCTGGCACTTATCAAACACAAAATGGCGCTCAGGATTTGATGGTAATGAGCTAGCTAGAACCACCGTTCCTCCTCTCAGTGGCAGAGCGTTTGGATGCTGCGGCTACAGATTCAATGAAAGGGGATTTCATCGTGGAGCAAACCCAGGAGGGGAGGCATTCCTGTGCTGTCAGCAGAGAAAAGGAACTTTAGAAGAGTGAGACCGACGAGGTATGAGGAAATGAAGGAGTCGCATTTGGTCAGACGGCTGCTGAAATTACAACTCGTCACATGCAAAGTTGCAAAATCACAGAGAATTTTGCTAGTTTTCACGTGACAAAGTGTGAAAACTGAAGAGAAAAGTAAAATCTCTCCGACTATAAATTTAATCTCTAATAGATTAAATTAATCTTTTTTCAATTTTAGGAAATTTATTTGACAACTTATTTGAATTTATTCCAGCACGACATGCGATACGTAGAAATACTCAACTCTTAAATAACGTTTTAAGAAATTAACAAAACGTGACAAATCAGCACAAATATAAAGGTGTGTTTAGAAATAAGAACAAAAAAAAGACTTTTTCTGCCTGATACTGAAGATTTATGTCATGAAAGCTAAAAAAAAATGTTCTGCAGTTTCATCAATGAAGGATTTTAATTTTGAATCCAACAAAAAAAAAAGGGGATGCTCCCATTAATTTCATTTATATTATTTTATACAAATGCGTAAAAATAAACCTTACGCTTGATGCATTCACAGACTAAAATTAGTGGGAAATCTCAGTTTTCATGCATTTCATAAAAAAAAGAATAAAACGTGTTTTTTATATATATATATTTTACCTGCTATAACCAGATCAATTACAAAAAGTCTGATTCAGATCTCTAAAACTAAATCAAAATTGAAAAAAATATCATTATTTTCTAAATTATTTCTGTTCAAAACAAGCTGAGCTCGTAGTAATTTAAGAAGTTAAAGGTTTCTATGTCAGCATGAATGTTCCTACTTGGACGTGTTTTGATATAAATTAAGAAAGAATTAAGATGGAGAAACACATATCTTAAAAATCCTGTCTGCTCCCAATTTCTAGTGCTTTTTGGAGGTTAGATCTGCTGAATTCGATATTAATCGACTTGTATTTTTTCCCCCCAGCGACTACAACCTATTCTGCAGAAGGTTGACGACGGTTTGCAGTTTAAATCTGACAGGAAATGAAGAGATTACGGGAATATTCCCGTTAACGTCTCACATTGATTTAATCAACACATTAAAGGACCTACCAGGGTAGATGATTTTCAGAGTAAGAATAATGTGGGAACTTAATTTGAAGAAATTTAATGAATGGTGTGAAAAATCTATATTTTTCAGCATCATTTTAGTATTTTCAATCACCAGGATCAATCAGCTTTACATTAAAATGCTCAGACTCTTTATTGCCACAGAAGCTGCCTGAACTGTTTGATGATGAGACCTAATCGAAATTAGCGTTACTATTATCGTGTAGCGTGTCTGTTTGGTTGGATTCAAACAAATGCCATAAGGCAATAATTGTTACGAATTGAGGCTATTTTGAAATTTGTAACTGAATTGAGTTTGTTTGACCTGCCAAAATCCAGTCCGAGTTTTTTAAAGGGAAAACTGGTCAATTCTTATGGCTGAAAATTAAAAAAAATAATAAATGCTGTTTCCTCAACAGCAAATCAATATATAAAGAAATAACACATTTAAAAAATTAAACAAAATCCTGATTCATGCTGTTCTCTTGCTTTATATTAAAACCAACCAGATTTTTTAAGATTAAAAAAAAAAAAGTAATTTTGACCCGTAATAATCAGAAAATAATCCACTTGTGCCTTCCTGCATTCGTGCAACAGCTTTCTGTAAACGTGAGTGTTTATCCGGCCCGACAGGCAGAACTGAAGGGTGTGTGTGTGTTGGTTTGTGCAAGCCAGCGTGGCTCCGTGTGCAGACAAACACACACACCCTGCAACAATGGCTTGACATGAGCAGGAGCTGCTGCTGCTGCTGCTGCTGCTGCTGCGGCACAGCTAAGACGAAGTTAGAAATGTTTCGTATTGGAAACACATTTAGTTTTTTTTATTTTATTTGCTCAATAATGAGCCTTTCATGAAACAAAACAAAACAAACAAAAAAAACCTGAATGTGCTTCAGCAGTTCTGCTGCTCACATTTCTGGTGTTTACTTGTCTGGCACAAACAGCGATGACCGCAGCCCAGACTGAGACAGAAACTAACACATGTGACCCCTGACCTCACCAAACCATTACACAAACACATCTATATGTACACACACACACACAGTCTGAGATTGAACGTACCTTGGTCCTGGACATAGTATGCTAGAAACAAGTCCAGCTCCTTGACCGATACTGTTATGTGGTGAGGCTGGACACAAAGTGCTGGGTTGGTGCAATGTGGAGACTTGACGAGCCGCTCGCCGTCCGTACTTTCCAGAGGGATGCCCTTGAAGAGGATGACCATCACCAGGTCCAGGCGCCAGACTTTGTCGGCCTGCCGCAAGCAGTCGATCCGGCGGATCTTGCCCTTCTGGTCCGGGTTGGACAGAACGCAGCACGGCGGCTTCTTGCCCGTCACGCTCAGGACGAAGTCCTCCCGGTACTCCTGCCGAATGTCCTTCCGCAGCTTGGCCAGCAGCCTGGAGGCCCACTTCTGCTTGACCTCGGGCTTCTCACCCAGGAGCTCGTCCTTCACGGCGCGCTCCTCGTCCTTGGACATCCGCTTCTCGTGCTTCTTGAAGTACTTGCGCTTTCGGGCCTGCAGGTTGAACCACGTGTAGGCGATGGCACGGACGTGAGGGAGGAGCGCCTCGATGAAGGGATGAAATTCATCCTGGAGGGGTCGGAGGGGAAAAGAGAGGGAAGGAATTTAATCATCTCAGCAAAAAAAAAAAAATATATATATATATATTTTTTTTATTTTTTTTATTTACAGGACGGATGTCAGATCACGAATAAAAAAATTTTGTGTTGAACTATTTTTCTGTAAGTCTGACAAAAAAAAAAAAAAAAAAAATTTTTTTTTTTTTGGTAAATGCTGGGGGCGGCTCTACAAATTCCACTTTTCACC